CCGGTATCTTCTTGCTTTTTTTATTTTAGTTGCCTCTGCCTTTTTACATCTTCAAATTTAGTCTTATAAATTAAGTTATCCCTGGTTAAGAAGTTCCATGGATTTTTTTTTTTTTTTTACAGTTTCTGTATTCCCTTCTGAATACATCCCAGCATCTTTATTAACAGAAACAATATAAATAAATACTTTTTGGTAACAATGTTATCTTGTTTACTTTTATAGACTAAAAATCAGAATCGGAAAAAAGACATGGACAACTTTCTGGCTCAGCTAGAAGCAAAATATGGAAATAAATCTAAAAAAGGAGGAAAGAAAACGGTACTCAAGAAAGGGAAGAAATAAACAGTTTGAGTTCCCAGCCTCTTCTTTTGCCCACATGATAACATCTCAATCTCAGTAAATATCTGTAGTCTTCCAGTTTATCAGTATATGGATGTATCAATCCTTGTAGATGGAAAGATACGGCAAAACGCATCCTGAAGCAAATGTAGATAAATTCCCTGGCAACTTTTAATGAAGGTTAAGTAGGTTCTTGATAGCTTAATATAAGAAAGTATTGTAATATTTGCTAATTGGGAGGTGTATGTCTGCTTGTATTTGAGTTGTGTAATACATCAAACCCTGCCAACTGTCACTGGTAAGAACAGTGGTTTTAAGACGGATCAGTTTATACTGAATCGTCATTTAAGGTGTCCAGCCATGTGAACCAACATGTGTTAGTAATTAATTAGTTTCTTGTCTAATCCTGTATTCTTTTTTATAGTCTCTGCACAGCAGTTCTCAATAGGGCAAGTTACTTTCAAATATGTCTGTATTTTTATAAATATATTTCTGAAACTAGCTTTAATAAAATAAATGATGGTTTTGCAAAAGTCTGCAGTACCTTTACTTCTCTAACCTGAAAATTGTTTTCATCATTCACTATCTAAAGTAGAGAAACAATGTCTTGAACAGTTGACATTCAACTGGTTCAAGTATAGTAGTAAAAACGGTATTACAGTATCTGACTACAACAGGGTCACTTGTCCCCTTAAGGAAGAGCAAATGCTGATCACTGGGAGCTTAAAAAAGCTAAGACAGAGCAGCAAACTGTCAGACAGTGGATTCAAGGCAGACAGTGGACTTAACCACTGGCTGCACAGAGTAGCTAGACTGCTGTGCAAAAGCCAGGGCCACAGGGAACCCCTCCATGTATCTGGGAGAAGATGATATGGTTGTTTGTTTGTTTGTTTGTATTTAAGGACTTTTATTAGTATGGTCTGGCTGAGGACCTAGCTAGTCAGGGAGCAAAAGCTGGCCTGAAGAAGCCTGGTGTGCACTGATGTCAAATCAACAATTAAAACGATGAAGACAAGAAGTCACTGCACTGGTATAGTTCATGAGTCCTTTGTCTGCAATCGGGTGTTTTTCAGAACCATTAATACCTGTCATGGTGTACTACAAAGTTAAAATCGGAATTAAAAAAGCTCAAGAGTTCATTATTCTTCAAAATAGAATATTTGTAAGATACAAGAATGTTCTCAAGCAAGTATATGGATGAAGCTAAGAAAATTCTAATATGTGAGTGTATGCCTGTGATAAGTTCATCAAGAAAAAACAATTTAAAGGCAGCAAAAATTCATATATTATGCAGCAATACAAATTTGAAGGGGTGTTCACTTAATTTCTGTATTGTAATTAAGATAAATCTGTGGGGGGAGGGGGATGTGCTATGAGCCTTTGCTGCTGGAAAGTAAAGGATGTTGGAAATGCTTATAGGCTTCCAAGATTAGTTCTGAAATGTAATAGAGTTTTAACAAGTTTCATTTAAAATATATTGTGAAGATTAAGTTAAGTTTTCAGGAAGCTAGCAGTATTCTATGCTGTTATCTTAAATCCTTATTGTAATTTATAGCATTTTAGCAATTACCATCCTATAGCAGTTAATGCAAAATATTTCTCACCAAGGAAATCATTTAATAGATGTTGGTCAACCTTCTATACAAAATATAGGAATTGTATCTGTTTTGAAACTGATTTGCACTTCACTGGATTTTGTAATTTATCTTTTGGTGCCAGTCTACACCTGCAAGTTACTAGCTGCATTAACACCATCTAGGCTAAATTTCCAGGCTGCCTTTAAGTGTTAGTGGATTGTAACAAATCCTTGAGTAATGGGGAAAAAATATTTTCGTCCCTAAAAAGAGGACATCTTAGTATGAACTGAATAAAACTGTCCTGACCAAGTTTTATTTTTGTTTCCATATAGCATGTAACAGGTATAATAACCAAGATTATTTGTGCCTTTTGGCTATAAATGGATTTACAATTAGTTAACTACATGCAGAAAATTCATGCACCTACCAGAGCGCTAACATAAACATAGTACATATATAAACATACTCGGCTAATTCTGAAGTGTTCTGGTATCCCATGTGTGATTAATATCAGAATTTGAGAGACTTAATGAATGGAATCTTTAGGGATCTAGCAATTGCTGAGTTGTTGAAAGGTCCCAAAAAGTCTGATAAGAGCTTTTCCTCAATACCACTCATGCTTCATGGGACTTTGGGTTGGATACAGAGCACAGCCTTTTGGTTTCCTTGCAGATGAGTTTGTAGACTTCTAGGATAAAGGGCTAATTAGGATATTCACTTGGTCCAGCTTGTTTTTTTAGCTATACAATCTTTAACCAAGAGTCTTCTATTATCTTCTATTCACACAAAAGGGAAAAGAAAATAAGTGGAAGCCAAAACACAAGGAAAAGCTTGAACTAGATGGAGAAATAGTTCCCTGTCCAGGCACCTGGACATCTTTCCCTTGACAGGAACTTCAACCTGTAAAAATAAATTCTGTCCCATAGTAGCAGTTTTCTTGCAGGAGAGAACAGGAAAGTTCTCTGACAAGATGCTAGTTTTCTTAATTATACATGATAGTATCAAACTACAAACTCAGGGGAAACTTAGAAAAGGGTTTTGATTTTTTTTAATTGTGTATAAAAAGTGACTCAGTTTCTGTTTAACAAAGCAGCAACTATCTTCACATGGTAGCAGAATAATTTGTTGTCCAAAAATATAGTAAAAGACTGACCTTGTCTCTATCTGTAGCCTGACACTTACCGGTACAAGTAAGTCCTGGAGCTAATCTCTACTGAAACAGCATTATAAATTTAAAGTTACTTCAGTATGAAACTTGCATTTCATGTGTAAGATTCATTTAAACCATAGTGTTCACTACAACGGAATACATCCCAGTATGTTGATCTCTTATGGCTGTAAACTGTCTAGCAGTGAAAACTGCAAAGCTGAACAAGTCCTGCATACTGAAACAGACACTACTTTGTTTAAAAAAACTAAGACAGACAGATGTATCCTCTGACATTACATCATAAATATTTCACTTTAAACAAAGAAGAGTTTTTTTTACTTTGAGTACTGCCTGAAATCATCTGGTGTAAAAGACTGCTTATGCCCCTTGAAAAGTTTCTTCTTTGTCATTGGTGGAGAGTTTTTAATGGATAATACAGAAAGGGAAGGTAATACACTACAGTTAAGCCTGCCACTTTAGAAGTATAACATTTTCTTTTTACCTTTGATTTACTTCCTTAATGTATAACTCAGCCTTTAGTACCTATCTCAGGACCAAATTTATCAAAATTACTTGAATAACAAAGTTGAACAAGGAGTAGTACGGTATATGCAATGGATATATTATTTTTCTATTATATTTGATACAGCAACACTGTCAGGCATCTTACTTTGAGGATTTTTTAAAATCTGAATTACTGCTAAAAAAATAAATATATTACTGGGAGAGTGCAATAGCTTTTACTTAAGTTAGTGGGTAGACAGCTGTTCCTGTAGTCCCACTGTTGTAATAACTGGACCCAAAGGGCATGCCCAGATGGGTGTGGTCCTGCGGTATGTTGTGCCACAAACACGTTTGCAGTGCCACATATTGCACAGTCCGGTGTTTTCTGCGCTGCAAGGATGCACTGCCTGAATGTGTGCTGCGCTAGATTTTTTCCTATAGGTTTTTTTGACTAGGCAGCGCGTGCTGCTGAAAAAAGGAGCTGGGCTGCCCAGAGCTGCGCTCCACTGCCAGCCAGGCTCCACGTGACAGAACTGCTGCAGCCACAGCCCTGAGAAGCCCTCAGGTAAGGCTGCTGGGGCCATCCTCCCCTACTCCACCAAGGGCAACTTGCTGCGCACTAAAGCGCACGTGGCACAGGCATTTCCTGGGACAAGTTGCTGCAGCACAAGGTGCGCTGCTGCTAGTTGTCCCCAGGGAACTAAATGTGGATGTGCCCAAAGAGTCCCGCAGCAATAATTATTCAACAACAGTTTGGCAGAGTAGCTGGTAGCCTTTGAGAATACAAGCATTTAGATCCACTAACTTGGTCTGCTGGTGGAAAACTGAAAGTGTAGCTACACTCCTGTAGTCTTTGGCAGTTACTTTGCTTTTTTTTTTTCTTTTAAATATTATACAAAATAAGACTCTTCATAAAGAAAGATGTTTTGTAAGTTCTTCTGTAAACAACTTTGACATTGCTGAGATTCAGCACTGATTCATGAAGTTCTGGACATGTTCACTGGAGATAGAAGAATCCTTCAGAGCACATCAAAGTCCCTGTCTGCTTCTTGTAATAGATCCACCTCGGCTATGAGTTCTCACAGAACCTTGTAGCTGCAAACCTAATAAAGATTAAGTAGAACTTTAACCACAGCTATTCCAGTTCCAGGTAGAATCAAAATAATGCACACATCTGCTTATCTTAATGTTAGTGTACTATTTTAAAAAACTAAAGTTTGTTACCAGCAAGTTTTAGTTGTAATTTGAAAACACAAGAGGTTTTTATATGCAACACTGTAATGCACTACATCCTTTGAAAAACTTTCTAGCAGTGAAATAATAGCATGAACATTCTCTGTTGACAGTTTTGTTGTTGTTTCTTAGGACCTAAAGATGAAAGTTATGCTGTAATAAACCTCAGAGATAAATAAAGGAAAAAAAAATTATAGGTAGGACCACACCTAACTTGCAGCAAGAGGAAACAATTTTTGTGATCTGCTTGCAGCGCACGGAGCCAATTTTGTGGGCATTTCATGTCCGCCCTGCTCTTCAATGCTGACTGGTGGAGAAGTCCCCACAGGGAGGAGGGATGGCTGCCATTTTGACTGCTGGCTGCCCTTCGTGCAGCCCTGCTCTCAGCACTGATTGGCAGAGGTATGAGGTGGCAGCCACAGTCTTGGTCGCTGCCCTTCATACCACCCCACCAGCTGGCACCTTCCCCTCCCGTAACGAGGACTGTTGGCTCCCACACCCAGCATTATTTTTTTTCCCCGGTTGATTTCCACACTTGTGGCCAATGTCATTTTTTTGAAGAGATTGCTGTGTTTCACGGTTTCTGCAAAAATCACAAAGCCACAATTCAAGTAGGTCTGTAATTAAAGGTCTTGGACATCCTGAGAATTGGTCTTTGGTGGGGAGACTGTTAGTGTAAAGCAGGGGTGGGCAAAATACTGCCAGCAGGCTTCATCCAGCCTGCCAGGCCATTCTATCCATCCCGTGAGGCCCCTAAAAAAAATTTAGAAAATGTATATTTATCTGCTCCTGCCTGTCAAAGATGACAGGAGCCAGGGGTAGTAGGACCCAGGGGAAGCTGGCAGGACTCAGTAGGAAAGTTAGCCTGGCCCTGCCCTACCCCCCAACCAGAAGTCTTTGCCTACTGCAGCTTGCACTGCTTTCTTGCCCACTGCCGGCCACTCCAGCACCATGTGGCCCCTGGCTGCATCATCGGACCACCAGCGCATGGGGCCCGCACTGGCACTGGCACCCCTGGAGCCAGGAGTGCGAGGGTGTGTGTGATTGTGTATGTCCATCTGTGCAATGAAGGAGGGGGCGAGAGAGAGCAATGAGGGAGGGAGAAACTGCGTGCATGTGTGCAATGAGGAAGGGGGAGAGAGAGAGAGAGTCCCACATGCACACTCCACCATACACACGTTCCCCCCCTCGCAATGCCACACACACAGCCCTCCGCACTCACACACCCTCACAGACCCCAGCAATCTTCCCCCCACAAACCCCATATCCACCCATACCCCACAAATCCACACCCACCCACCCACATGCTCCTACACCTACCCCCCACAGGCACACCCACAGATCCCCACAAACTTATACCCACCCCCCATGCCTCCCACAATATACAAGAGTAAGACTTTATTTTAAGCTTTGTGCAGTCCCCTCTATGTACATTGCACAAACCCAGGACAAAAATATTTTTTTTAATCGAATGAATGTTGTAGATGTTTGCTTTTTAGAATATAAGTTGGTATTTTTCTGGTTCTGAGATGGCAAAACCCCTAGCTGAAAAGAGTATTTCCAGGGGCAAGGGGAGGGACTTCTGGTGACAAAGGTCAGGGGTGAGGGGACTGGACTTCCAGTCACAAGATGGTGACCAGGGGGCGGGGCACCTGTCAAGGGGTGGGCAGGAC